CTTCTCTGAATCAGCGCTTTTCTTTTAGTTTCTTCCGCTAAGGCTATGGCATTCTCGAGGAATCCACTGTTGATTCAGTGCATTATTTCTTTTGCTGTTCTGCACTGATGCACTCTGTTGCTGAGGTGCCATGGAATCATAGCCCGTAGAATTGGCCCTACTGCTGATTGGAATTGATAAAGGTGGAATTAATATGAATGGATTTAATGAGAACGTGATGCAGTACCACCGTGTAAACTGATTAGATTCAGTTATGCTTGTTAGTTAATCACCGATGTACGAACCACTTGCTTATGCTGCTGTTGAAGGGCATGTAAGGAATACCAGCTTTTGAAAAATCGATCATAGTGAAAGGGATATTACTGTAGCGAAAAAAATGCGAGATGCATCGACGTAGTTGAGCAGCTGAAATGCGGTGGAGATTTAATCTACTTGGATAACTTCCTCTGTTTCTGAAAACTGGGATGCAACAATAACAACTTTAAGCCGGCTAAGTTATGTTAATTGATATATTAGGGGTGTATTTCTTTAATGCAGAACTTCAATTCGTTTTTCAGGAAAGTTCTAAATTATATGCTTAAATTACTCGAAAGGATTCGTCGACCTCCCAGGCTCTCTGGTGAGGCAATTGTATGAATAACAAAAATGCAGCATAATGCAACTTTACATTAAGAGAAGCTGTATGCCTTCAGTTCAGGTTCTTTCAAAATCTTTTAGCTCTGATCACGTCAGTTCATGAATTTTTGCGATAGATTCTAAGGAGTTGACTGATATGAGTTAGGCTTGCTGACTTGTGTTCAGAGTTAAGCGGTTTTACCAGTGCAGCTGTGATATCAGCATAATACCCTAGAAAATTCGGCAGCTTGACGAAACATGCGCGATCGAAATAGACCGGAAGGAATGCAGTAGCTTAGTGGGCATGCCATCCGCGTTAGCGCGAAGAACAGGCCGTGCATACAGTTTAACTTCACGCGAATAATCTAGTGTAATTACACAAAGCGGTTTTGTTTAGTACTATCATAAAATAAGTTTCGAGAAATGTTTCAGTATAGCGAACGCTGTGTTTCAGGCGTTCCAGGCTTTCTACTCAGATCTGCTTTCAGGTTATTGTTCCGAAGTCTGCCGTCGGGGTCATAATTGGTAAAAGTGGTGAGGCGATCAAACGATTGACGCAGGACACTGGTGCGAAAATTCAGTTCAAACTCGGTGGTCCGTTCACTCGTTTATAAATTTGGTTTTATGGTTGGGTATTATTTCAGAAGATTTTAATGCACCGGAAAGGACAGCAGTCATTACAGGCACCAGAGAACAGATAGAGAAGGCAACACAGATAATTACAGACATGGTGAAAAGAGCCACGGTATGGTAATTTAAGTTGGTGAAAGATCTAGTTTCTGTTCTGGAAATTTTTTTCTAATTTTTCTGCCTCTTTGACATCAACCTTTCAGTTTGTTCTTTGCTTCAGTTAGTCAGATTCTTTAACCGCCTATCCATTCAGGTCGCGGAGGCAGACGCAGTCTCCAACGTTCCCAACCCTGCGTCAGCGTTTCAGATCTGACAGAAGACAACCCGAGTCTGGAGCAGTGTACTTCGAGACACTTGACACAGGTTATCTTTGGCCGTCCGCGGAGTCCTCGGTCGATCTGTGGGGCATTTTGTAGCTGTTTCACCTTTCTTTATAAAAGCATTCGCATGACTTGACCAAGCCATCGCAATCTGACTTTTAAATCTTGAGAAGCATCGTCTTTGCACCAATGCGGTGTCGAATATCTGTTAGTCGGACCATGTCGAGGTATCTAAGCGCCAGCGGTTCGTCTTCGAAGGCCCGTTTCAACCGCTTATATCCGAAATCGAAGTGTTTCAGTCATATACCACGACTGTCCGCAGGCGAGTATCGGGATCTAAGCATAAGGAGAACTCATCGCTGCTTTAGTCACAGCTATTGGGGCTAGTTGACGTAGAGCCGCTGGCCATTTCATTTTGCCGGACTATCTCTTCATCTCGTTTTTATCACTCTTGAAAACACGACCATGAACTGCGTAAACTTCCCTACGTGTTATACCGTTTCTCCGTTTATCTTTAATTCGCAGCTGGCCGGTGAACGAGACAGGATCAGGCCTTTCGATTTAGGCATATTTACACGCATGCTGGCCTCATGGCATTCGGCTGCGAACCTTTACAGATAGCCCTGTTGATCCGTTTCAGAAGATGCCAGCAAAACAAGGTCGTCTGCAAACAACAACCTCTCGTCTCGACAACACCTACGCTGATACACTCATTGCCCTGACTGTCCCTGGCTATTCTATTCTTGTTCAACAAACAGGAGAAGGGACAGAACGCAGCCTTGGCGGAGACCGATGCCAGTGCTGAAAGGTTTCAACTTAACATCATTTATTCTGACGCAGCACCTGTCAGCATATAGTGACTGGATGGCTTGTGACAACTGGCCATCGATGCCATGTGTTCGAGAATACGCCCATATATTGTTGAGCGGGTTCCTGTCATATGCATTCCCAAGGTGCACAAAGCCTATTTTACTCGGGTGAGCGAATTCCCACAATTTTTCAACAGTTTGGCTTAATGCGAGATCTGGTTAGTGTTTTTTCTCCCAGACTTGAAGCCACGCTGCTTTTCCTGTATCTTACAGTCGGTTATTGTGCGGTCCTTCTTTCTGCCACTTTGGCGTTGAATTTTCCCGGAATGCCAGTGAGGCAATGACTTTATAATTGGAACTCTCCCTGTTGACTCCCTTCTTGAACAAAAGTACTGCAGCCTCGTTTTCCTGTTCACTGATGTTTTGTTCATAACCACTGCAGTTTGACAGGCGCGTGTTATTCACAACTTGCCTAATTCGCTTGAGGCCTTAAGCATTTCATGGCGTATTTCATCGATTGCTGCAGCCTTGTCATTTTTGAAAGTTCTTAGCCTCTGTGACTTCATCTACTGAAATACTACAAGAGTCTTCCTCTGGTTGCTTGGAATTAAGGTGTCCTTCAAGGTTCTCTTCATCCTCGAAGTATGTTTTCATGCTTGGTTAGGGTGTCCCTACACTTGTCATTCAGGATTCTTAGACTGCCCTACTTTCTACTTCGGATGCGGCAATGATCTGCTAGAACACCTTGTTGCTCTATGATAATTCTATCCCAGCACCTCACGAAACTATACTTATGAAGATTTTGCATTACCCACTGCTTTTGCTGCCACCTTTTGCGTTTCTTCATATTACATTTGAGGTAAGAGGTCTTTGCTCTTTGGCCTTCTCTTGAATGCAACCTTCATCTCGCTGACGGTCTGTTGAACCTTTTATGTCTGCCAGAAAGTTTGTTTCTAACCTCCATGCAGCCGGTGAATTCGCAACATTCAGCGGCAGCCCTGAGTGCGCCTCTCTTAAAGAGCTTGCACTCTGTCTTCACACCACTGACTATCGCTGGGATCTGTCCAACATGTCTTGCGATGTTGTTTGCATGTTTTTCCCTAGTTTCCTTAAAAAATTGTTTCACATTTGAATCTTTGGTTACTTCTGCCGCCAGGTCTTCATCCTTTGCAGCAGAATATCAACAACAAAATGGTTTTCGCATCTGTGCGTTTTGTAGCGCTAACATGCGGTACACAGCGTAGCTGGTCAAATGATATGATTATCAAATCCACCATCGACTTCGGTGCATTAGCTTTAGTACCCTACGTATGCTAATTCATGCTTTGATTCTCGAATGAGTTCATAACAGACAGTGCGTTGATTTTTTTAAACCGCAAGAATCTCTTCTCTTTATTGTCACCATGGCCGTTTTTTCCAGTGGCTCCATTTCACCTTGCTTTATCAGCTACGACATACGCATTAGTTTGATGAATTTCATGATCGAGCACCTTCTACTAATTTCAAAGACTCATACTTTCCCTTCGAATTATGCGCACAGCCGTGTAGCATGATAAAAACTTTAACCTTTGTAGCTGCAATCGTAGAACTGCCACTTTTCCGTTGACAGGTTTCCGTTTAATAATTCTTTCAATCGGGTTTGATTCTACCAGCACGCCATCACCGACTTTTGCGCGCATCGTGACTTCTTTTCGAAATGAATGGTTTCCACCCGCAGATGTTCAGAATTTCATAGCCTTGGCGCCATTCCATAGCGGAGGTCCAACTATTTCCACTCGGTACCTTGCGGCCTCGTCAACTAGTTCCTGCTCTTTTCCTCTGTGTGAGAATATGTTCCAGTTTCCACTGTCGGTGTCTATCCCGTGCATCCTTATGTGACATACTATAATGACTATTGTTATTTGCATTTGCTTGAGTTGTTGTCTTTGTTCAAAACCAACTAGTATTGTCTAAATTGTCCGTTTGAGAGTTTATTGCGTCTGTGTAAACGTTTTTTCGTGCATTCTAACTTTTCGCGAAAAGTCTTAAATTCGTGAACTCTTATTTTTTTCGCTATTGGAAAGATTTGAATGTAGTACTATCTCTACCTCCCGGCTGCTGCTTATCTCTGAAGATAAGCGGAGAAACAGTGGAATAGTTGGAGAAGTTAACGCTCCCGAGTGTCTTGTTTACTCTCGACTGAAAATTGGAGTAAGGTATCGACTATCCACCGGCGAATTGAAATGGCCAGCGACGTCCTTCGTTGACTAGCTCTAACCGTTGCGACTGGCGTAGATCTGATTCTAAAGACTGCACTCTCGCTGTTGAAGTGGAACTTCATCCTCATGCTTGTCTCTTGTCAGAAGTACTGGGCCTTGACTGAAAAACTTCATTCCCTGGTTAAAGTGGCTGAAATGGGGCTGAGTAGAAGAATTGCTTGCTCACGTGTATTGATGTGATCTGAATTACAGGATATACGAGAGAGCGTTGGTGTACAGTCGCTGTTTATCTAGATTGAGAGGGCACAGTTGCAATGATTTGGACTTGTTTTCGAATGCTTTCCGGAAAAGAATTCATAACAGCTACTCAGTGCCCAGCCGGCTGACCGACGACCTAAAGGACGATCAAGTATGACCTTGGGCAGTTGTTTCGACATACTCTGGTTCAGATTTGAGTTAGTTTCTCCTGATGATAAAACGCTGGCAGAAGATCTGGACACTTTGAAGACTCTGTCTGATACGTCTGCGTCAACTACCCGAAATGATAAGCTGTCGTCGAAACTAACTGATGAGTGACTTCTCAGCGCAGTTTTTTTCTCAGCTGTAGTTCACCAATATCTTTGAATATCTAATCTCATCTGCAGAACTTTAAGTGTCAGTCATTGAGCATGAGATTGCTCCTTTTAATCACTATTTGGAATGCTAAATTTGTTGCATTATATTATTTTTTTTATTTATTTTAGTAGCTGATTCCTTTGTGGATATTGATAGGAGCAGTTGCATTACGCAAGACATTTCTATGTCTCCCCGTTCCCAGTCAGTGTGCTAGGTACCACCAAACAGATTTCAAGTGTTCAGTATGTAGCTGTATTTTCTTGAGCCTTACGATGGGCCATTTATCATTTGATTTGTAAAGAGATTTTTCTCGCTGATCTCTTTCTGCTATCCTGATTCTGTGCATTTTTAACCATAACCGCATTTCTTG